ATCTTCTGATCACAAATGAATCAGAATAAAGTACACGCTTGAAACACGAAAAAAAGTTCAAATTCTTTGTCAAAAACTATTTTATGGGGCAATTTTCATCAAATAAAGCAGTGTTCGATCTGACATAATAAATCACACGAGTTTATATTTGTCATTACGAAACAAACTTTACCCCTGACATTTTCAGCGATTGTTATTTATCTAGCTTTTTTTGTTCATGGTAAAGGTCTTGCGGATTGTTAAAAAATTTATTAAGTACGTCACATCTCCATGTTTTAACGAATTATTGAATTATTATTATTACTACTATTTTATAATTTACATTTTTATCATTTATATGATTTAGCGAAAAAAAATTAAATTGAACCTGGCAGTAAATTTAATTTCTTACAAATGTAGAGATTGTTAAGTATTTGTTTACGAACTTAACAATTTATTTTAATTTGTCAGTGATCTTATGTTGCTATTTTGTAAATCACATTTAAATTGGAATAAAGAAATGAGCAAAAGTTTGTAACCGGTAACTTACATAATGGTAATGTATTGCAATGACAACCAATCTTTAGTATTCTGAGACAATATTCTGGTCAATCATGAACGCGGATCTGTCAGTGAGATATCTCAATTATACTAAAATTTATTGTGTGTGAAAGTTTTTCTCTCCCTTTACTGATTTCATCATAACACTAAATTGAATGTAGCTTCGATAAAAGTCATGGAGAATTTAAATTCAACACAATGCCTTCATCGGATTGAATATTATGGTAGTAGCCCGATGAAAACATTTTTTTGCCATGACATAATGTATTTTCTTATATGAAAATTTAGCCAATAAAAACCATCTCCTCTCATCAATTTCGATAAAAAAAATTATTTTATAGCGAAAAAAAATCTTTCAAAATACTTTAAAAATTTTTTTTTTTAAAAAAAAGGAGCTAATAATATTACATATTACATAAGAAAACTTAATTCTTTTAGAAATGATAACCCAAACAAAAAAATATTTTTTTTGTCGTATTACAAACAAAAAATGATACACAAAATAGAAAAATGTATAAGACATGCGTTCCTATCCAATAAAAATGGAATGGGAATCCTAATCTATATCTGCCGGTTGGGAAATTCAGATCTTCAACATGTAAAATAAGGAGCAATCAGAAATTTACTTATTGTTGCCAAACCAACAATTATGCCAATTAGACTTTATTTGTCAATGTGATATATTAAAATGGTATATAGAAAATTAGGGGTACAGACTTTTTCTTTTTTTAGCAGTGACGTTACGGTCAGTTACGTCAGTAAAGTTTGTTGACAATTTTTGCATGTGAATTGTCAAAGCAAAATAAATCAATCGGTAGATCAGACTAGTCAATTATGATTTGTGCTGAAAGATAATCTTTTTAGCGTTAATAAACTTAAAAAAAAATTTTTCCTTTAAAAAAATTACTCTCATGGCTTCGTTTTTTAGGTATGTATCAGCTTAGATTTTTGCGCTTTGGATCGGTAAGTTAACTTCGAAACTTAACTTTTTTAGTAAATTTTTCTTTTGAAAAAACTTTTTAATTTTTATTTATAGATATCGGTTTCAAGGGGGGGATGTATTTTTAAAAAAATCGTTTTAAACTTTCATTTCCTTTTTTAGATACCGGCTTATTTGAATCGGATCTTGGATTTGGTAAGTTTCGGTTCAGAACTTACAATTTTATTTTAATTTTTTCTTTTTTTTAAATTCCTCTTTTTTTTGTAGGTATCAGTTTCTTCAGCTTTGGGGTATGGCAAGTTTTGATTTGATACTTCAAAACTTACATATTTTCTTTAATTTTTTATTAGTTTTTCACCTTTCTTTTTTTCTGTAAGTACTGGATCTTTTGGCATTGGACTTCGGACGTTGACTTCTTGGACTTCTTTGGTGGGATTTCTCAACATTGAACAGCACTTGGACTTTTTTTTCTGTAGGTCAGCGTCTTGGAGTATTTTCTCTTAGAACGATAAGTGTCTTTGGTGGGTATGGTGATGTTAGCATTATTAAATTATACCAACGCCATTTTTCTTATCTAAAAATTTTTTTATTATAGGACCTTCAGAACCAAAGGAACCCCCTGAGAGGTAATTATTAAAAGTAGGAGGGGAGTTTTTTTAAATTGAGAACGCTAGTAAGCTTTATTAACGTTCCACTTTCTTTTTTTTTATTGTAGGGCCTACCAGGTACCTTGAAACTAATAAAACGGCCCATAGAAAAGAAGGGGAGATGTTTTAAATTGGAAATATTAGTAAATAATACTAATGTATTCTTTTCTTTTGTATGTTTTGGTAGGTTCATTGGATAGATAGTATATGTAGGATTTATCAAATTAGCTTATTGATAGATTGTATTTTAAATTATTGTATTAGAATAATAATAAATATAATATTTGCAATCAATTCAAATCAGCGCATTTCTATTAAACTATTAATTACAATCGGAAGGTTCTATTAGCAATCAGAAGATACTGGTTATATTTAATTTGACAAATTAAATAGTGGTCAAATTAAATAGTGCCGGGTGTGATTTATTTTTATTATGTAATATTATAATTGGCACATCCGGTTATATTCTGATTTGCGCCATTAATTGACCGCCTAACTGGCATCCGATCACCAAATAAGGATGACTATTGGCATCCGATTGGATGCCGATTTGTCAGCATTTGACCTGTGTATATATTTTGATAATCTTAATTCGAAAATTTAGTAAGCATTTCCTTTCTTCAAAATAAATACTAGCAAGATGTTGAAACTTAAAATTAAAATAAAAAACATATTTATATGATGAATTTCGAAGTTAAATACCTTGAAATGCTGCAATCCACATCAGCCAAGATGATATCTACAAAAAAAGGTTTAAATTTCGTTACTTAAAAGAAAAAAAATGTGTCGATCTGCTAAAATTGAGAATATTCAATAAAATTTGAATTTTGTAAGTTTAGTAAAATTATTTTAAATATTGAAATAATAATTAAAAATATTTAATTTTACTACTTGATATTAATAATTTATAGAAATTAACTCTGAACTTTATTTTATATTGCATTATAAAAAAATTCATTTAGTAAGTAAGGTTGTGATAGATTATGATTTCTTACTGAACAGTCATTAACACATTGATGAACAAAATGGACTTTAGGCATGGAAGTTACAAAAGAAATAGGAAAAACATTGTGCCATTTTTTCCTTTCTGTACATATTTTGTATTTTTGACACATCATTAGAGAATCAATACCATTTCTTCCTTCAATTTTTTCAAACCATTTTAAAAAATAAAAAGGGTATGTTTTAGCATTATTATA